TCTGACCAGCTGTGCACTTCCCATGTCTTCTTTTCTCTTTCAAGTCATGCCTGTCAATAGGCACAAAGTTGATGCCAGGGACCGTCAGGTCCTTCAGAGCGTGGGTGGGCTTGGTCTCTCAGTGGGGACAGGTATCAGGCTGAAGATGGGAGGTAATGGGTGGGGAAAAGGTGTCTCCTGACAGCTAGGAGCCAGGAGAGAGGGAAAAGATGGGAGTGAGGACTAGGGGCATAGTAAATCCTGAGCTCTGACCATGGATTTGAGCTTCACATGGGAAATGAGCCTCTTCTCCAGGAGCCATAGGGAGCCATAGATAATGGAGGGAGTCTGGCCCTGCTCTGGAGGGTGAACATGGGATAAACCAAAGGCAGTGGAGAGGACAGTGGCTGGGAGAATTTGCTCAGTACTTTTAAACCTCAATGGGTCAATAATCAATATCTCCAACTTCACTCCCTCTCTGGTAAAATCTGGTTCGCAGGAGGTAAAATGTATCTGCAGCAGCCTCCTCCGCCTGGATGCTCACACCCTGATCTCCTGGCGGCTCTGCCCCAACTGGGTCCCTCCCACACCCATGGCTGCTCCCAGGAACTGTGCCAAGAGCGCGTCCTACTGACCTGGCTCCGAGCTGTTTTCTGCGTTGTGAAGATGCGTTCTTCCAACCTTGCTTACCTACCTGCTCCTATACTTGGGTATTGTTTTTATAGGCTGTTCTTTCCCTGCGGCTTCTGAGAAGTAGGTCAAGATACCTGCTTTAAGGGAGAGGTGCCAGGAGTTCAAGTCATCCGGCCTGGAGTCAGGAATCCTGAGTTCTATTTCAGGCTTCACAGCTAATCAGCTAGCAGACAATCCCTGGGGGCACATTCTTCCCTCTGGTCCTCCCTGGGCCCTTCTCTAGGTCTCATGATTTATTTTTCTCTGAAGCTATATCCCCTGGGGCTGTCATCTTCTTCCCCATTTGCACCGTCTGGAAGGTTCTTTAAAGCTGTTGGCTGCTCAAGGCTGGTGCTGGGAGCAAGAGCTGCCGCAGTTGTGTGGCTGGTTGGGAGATTAGAGGCTTTTGCGCAGACACGGTGCAGCTGGCGGGGCTGTGTGAGGCTGGAGCATCAGGAAGCCAGGCTCCTGGACTAAAGGACAGGCCTGGTGCTGTGCCCTGGATACTGGGATGAGAGTGAGGGTCCTGGGTTTTATGTGACAGTTGTAGACTGCCTCTCAATTCTAATCCTCTCTCTCTCTGTCATGCAGGGAAATTCAACCTCTAGTTCATATCAAAACTGGAAATTATGGTGCTTACTCATGGCAGATGGCATCATTTGAGCTGTTGCAGCAAAAGACATTGTTTATGGTGACTGTGTTAAGTAGGGTGTACTTTGGCCAAAGAATAATGGCCTTTTCTAAGGCTTAGTTCCTCCAGCCTGACCCACCCATCCCAGGAGGGCACTGGGCTCTGGATTTGGCCAACACCAGAGGGGGTCCAGGGCACATGGTCTAGGAGGGGGCTGGAAATTAGAGCCCTGTTTTGGTCTGGATAGCCTGAGACTCTCTTTACTCTCTACCCTGCAAACCCAGGTAATGGGGGAGTGAAATACAGAAATGGAAGGAGAGCAAAGGCAGCTAAGAGAGGGAAGAGGACCTGGGACATCAGACTGTTAGGAAGAACTCTGCTGAAAGTCCGGTTGTCATGTGGGTGTCGGGGAGGACTGCAGGGCATCATGTGTGCTGGAAAGAAAATGGGTCTTGGCAGAGTGCCCGGGCTTGAATTCCTGCTCGACCAATGCTAAAGAGCGGTCTCGCCTCTCTGGGCCTCAGTTTCCCTGCTGTAAACTGAAAATAATAGCACTGATCTTGCCAGGTCACTGAGGTATTGCATCAGATAATCTGTGCTGCCCACCAGGCACAGACCTGTGGCAGAGTGAGCACGTGGGAAATGTTATTTCTTTCCCACTTTGCTTCCTGTCCTGCCCATCATTGTGTTTCAGGTTTCTACAGATAAGTACGAAACTATTTAAGAGAGGGATCCTGATTCTGACTTTCTCTTCTTCCCCTGATCTGCCTAAATAACTGATTACCTGCATGACATTGCATGACACTGATTTCTTCGTGACATTCTTTTAGATATCGAGACCCTTGGGTTCTACTCCTTTAAGTCATGAGTGAGAAGATTATACTCCCCCAGCTCTCAGCTTCCTCATCTGGGAGTAACACCCTCACCTTAGACTTCTACAGCAGAACCAGTTGCTGCTCAAATGTCACTTCAGCATCTTGACTGCACATCAGAGAGGCTGGGTGTGAGCTGAGTCCTTCACCACTAGAGACACAGAGTCCAGGGGAACCTCAGCCCTCTGGCAAAGCCCCATGCCAAATGTTGCAGGCCAGCCAGAGTGATCCCATTCCTGTGCCTTTGGGAGTCACATACCAGTGTGGCACAGTTCTATTTGGGAACACAGACTGGGGGAGGGGGAAGGACCACTCCAGGCCTCGGTCACTCATGAAGATCCAGGAGCACCCTTGGAAGGATGGTGCTAGTAAAATTGTCAGTGAAACCTGGGCTGAGTCTGAATTTCAGATAAACGAGAAAACTTTTTTAGTTTAATTATGTCCCAACTATTGCTTGACACGTACATCAAACAAATTTTATTTGACATTTAAATCTAATTGGGCATCCTGTATTTTGTTTGTTCATTTGTATTTTTCTGTTTTCCCCTTTTTACTGAATTTATTAGGGTGACACTAGTTAACAAAATTATACAGTTTTCAGGTGTCCTATTTCACAACACATCCTCTGTACACTGTGCTGCGTGTTCACCGCCCCAAGTCAAGTCTCCTTCTGGCACCATTTATCCTCCTGTTCCCTCCTCCACCTCCTGGCAATCAAAGGCATCCTGTATTTTTATTTGCTAAATCTGGCAACCCTAGATCTAACACCAAGGCCTTTGGGTCAGGCCCTCCAGGCCCTCCCAGTATGGCCCTCGGTGACTTTCCATCCCCCCTTTCTGCTTCTGCTCCCAGTCCTCCACTCTGCTCCAAGCAGGCGGAGTCTAGGTTACGCCCCACCCACCCTCTCCCCTCCACCATCCTGACCTTTGCAAATTGTTTTCCCTAGGGCCAGAATGACAATATTTACATTGTATCTCCTCATCGAGAAATCCTGCCCATTTTCCGCAGCTCATCTTGAATTTTTTTTCATGAAATTCTACCCTGTTCCTTCTGTGAACCTCCACCGTAGAACTTGCTAAATTTTATATAATTTTTGCATGTCTCCTGAGTACCTTTCACATTGTCTAGCACATAATCAGGAGTGATCACTAAATATTTCATTAAAAGAATAAATTAATCTACCAGTCATATGAGTGTCTAAATAGAGGTCTGTGCCTCTCGTGAACAGTTTACTATATTCTTTCTTGTCATGTTTTTTTTTTAAAATCGGTGTTTGTTTTGTAGTCCCTGCCAGACATTTCACTCCTGAGGACAGACACTGCATGTACCACTGTGCTGAAGACACCTGGGAATAATTAGTACATTTTGTGTTTAACAGATTGTGGGGTGGGAGTATCTTCGATGTGCAGACCAAGCTAGTCTCCAGATTTTCCTTTCTGCCTGGTTCAGATGTGACTGTCAGCAGATCTCAAAGCCACCTGACTTGGTCCTAGGACTGGAGAATAGAGACAGAGCGCCTTTGTGAGTTGTCAGAGGGCCCAGACTACATGTGAGCTCCGGGAACCTTCCCAGGGTTTCCCTGGGGTGGGTGGCGGGGGGAGGGGGTGGATCCAGGACTCCCATGTGCTGCTAAGAGAGGGAAAGAGGTGAGAACAGGAACAAAACCTGGGAAGAACAAGGAAGCAGGAGGAGCTGGTGAGGACGCGGAGGAACATAAAACATGGGTTTGGGGTACAACAGAGAGACCACTTTTCCAGGCACCCAGCAATCTGGATTCTCTTTCTGGCTCTGTCGCTGCCTTGGGTGAGGAAGGAGAGAAGATACATGTGAGAATGCCCACTGTGTACTGTCATGTAGGCTTTATATCAATTTCCCAAAAGTCCTGCAGGTTCAGAGAGAGTAGATGACCAGCTTACAGACACACAACTCAGTGTATCTAGGAAAAAGAACACAAACCAACCTCTCACGGCCTCAGTTTCCTATTCCGTAAAATGGGAGACATTACACCTCCCCTCCTTAACTTCTTGTAGAAACCTCAACCATGGGGCAAGAGGAGAAACTGAGGAGTGGATATTGAAAGGTGAATGTGTGGAATGTAGAGGAGGCTGAGTGAGAAGCCTTCGAGAAGCCCCGAGCTGGGCTAGGGGGTGTCCAGCCCAGAGTGTAGGGCGTGAGCCTTCTGTCCTTCTGGATCTGTCTTTCCCACAGTCAAGAAGATGGAGCAGTGGGCCCTGGGGCACAGGTGGAGAGGATTCCTGCTACAAAGGAATGACACCCATAAATCTGGGAGAGAAAAAGCAAGCTGACTTCCTGCAGCACCTGGGGGGTGGGGTAGGGTGCATTTCCTACGTACCTGCCCTAGGAAGGACGCTGTTTGGTAGCAATCACCTGGTCGGAGAGTGGCTGGGAGGGGCAAAGCTGAAGGTTTAATTAGAGAATGGGGCTTAGCTAAGGGGGACAGGAGAGGGTCAGGGTTATTTCCCAATTCGTTTTCCTTGCACCCCTGGCTCACTCTACGAATCCTGGAGAAATCCAGAGGGGGAATAGACATACACCTTCTGGCGCCCCTGCTGGCCCTCGGCCCTGGGTCAACGGCCTAAGCATCCGAACAGGGGCCAGGAGTTCAGGTGGGTGACTTCCGCAAAGAACCGCTGCAGCTAGACACTCCGGACCAGGCACCTTGGGATCTGGGTTTGAGGGAGGCTGGAGAGGGGCGGGAATCTGCCTGGGGAGGGGCGGAGCCGGCCGGGGTCTGCGGCCAGGCAGTGGCGGAGCCGCAGGGGAGGGACTCTCATTAGCATAGCCCCTCCCCTCTCGGCTCGCCCAGCCCAGAAGCCTGAGCGGAGGCCGGCTGCGCTCAACCTGGGAGTGGACTGGGCTCGCGGCTCCTGGCTCTGGCCCTCCCGCGTCCGGCCTCCACCGGCCTCCGTCATCCGCCGCTGGGTGTGAATGAAAGGCAGGCGCTGCCGGGGGCTGGCTGCAGGCGACGCCGCAACGGGGCCTCGAGGGAGGTGCTCGCCCCGTGGAGATGTACGGTAAGGAGGGTTCTGCCTCGGCTGGCAAACTTGCGGGACGCGGACCATTGTCCCCGCGCGCGGGGCTCCAACGAGGCCGTGGGGTGCGGGCTCGGAGCCCGGCTGGTCTCTTTCTGTTGCTCTGTGCGCGTGTGTTTGTGCCGAAGGGACAGAAATGCTCAGGGCCGGGCACCCTGGGGTCTTGGAGTCCTCCGGGCCGGTGGTTTGCAGGCGCTGGGGCGGTGGGCGTTGGTCGGTCGTGGGGTGGGGGCTAGGGTGAGCCTGGGCTCTGGGGAAAGCGGGTCTCCCTTGGAGCTGAGCATCCGAGAGGTGGTCATGTGTGACAGCATTTGCAGAATTAACAAAAGCGGGTGGTGCTGCGGAGTTTTCTGCGGAAAGCCGGTTCCAGATTGCAGTGGGGACGCTCGCTGCCCGCCTTGTGCCTGGTTGCCGGGATGTGGGAGGCGGCGCCGGCGGTGCAGAGGGTTGGGGAGCCAGCCAGTCCTGGGAGCCCCGGCTCGCTGTCCCTGGATGGATGTGGCTTTTGTCTGTCCCTGCCGCCTGTGGGAGCCAGGTTCCCTAACTTCCAGATTGGCCCTCCACAGGGACAGAGGAGGGAGACGCTGGTGAGGGCGCCACGCAGCTCTGGGTAGCCTCCCTCTGCCTGTCCCCTGACCCCTCTTGCCGTCTTCGACCATCTCCTAACTGACGTGCAACAGTTAGACCCTCAGGGTGCACAGGTCTGCTTTCACACTGGCGAGAATTCCTCTAGTTTTGGAGGCAGCACGGGTGAAGGAAAAGGGAGCTTTTGGGTCCCACATTCCAGCTCTAAAGTGTGGAGCAGCAGACCCTGAGCACTAGAAATCAACTGCATTACAGAGCATCTGAACTGCTGTGTGTGTGGGGGGGGGAGATGGGGATGGGGGGGAGAGAGGATCCAGATGGACATAAGACCATCAGAACCCAGATTCTGACAGCTGTTCTCCGGCCAGCTAAAGAACTGGACTTGTGCTCACCTCCCATCTCCACTGCCAGGTAGGGGCCCAGGGCACACCTGAGGGGTGAGTGTTGGGAGAAGAGTGTGTTCCCAATTTAACCTACCACCGAGGCTGCTCTACTGAGGCTGCTCTGCTGCCTCACCACAAACAGACTATGAGTCACAAACTTTGTTGGAGGCAGAAAAAGCTGAGAGCTTAGTGCATAGGCTCAGCACTCAGTGGGCCTCACTGTTGACAGAGAGAACCTTTTCATCGATCTCCATCTCTACCCAGTTGGTATTACGTCTGCACTTTTGAACCAGGTCAAGACATTAGCATATTCCCTCAGCAAGTATTGCCCTGAGGTGGATCCGAGGGGGCAGTAGAGTGGGAGGCGAGGTTGAGCTCAGAGCCTCTTCTGCTGGCCACGGGGACTCTGGGGAAAGGTAACAAGGCCGTTGTTTTATAAGCTAGGAGGCTGCGAGGTTCCCAGGAGAGAGCTGTATTTTCTTAGTCTGTTTTCCCCTCTTCTTTTCTGCAGAGTGAGCAGCCTGAAGCTGCTGCAGGTCACTTGACAAAAGCATGTGACTGCAGGGGCACCTGCAGTGGGGACGGAGTTAGGATAGGGCCCAGCAGACCGGGTAAGAACTAGGAACCTCAGTTCTCCAGGGCCCCTGTGTGGTGCTTAGTCTGAGTCGGTTGGGGTCCCTGTCTGCCTCTACTGTAGGAAGCAAGGGAAGGAAGAACTGGATGGTACAGAAAAGTGAACTGAGAATCCAACGTATCTGGGTGCTGTTTTCAGATATGCACAGATTTTTATTCCTCTTTTATAATATGTTTTTATTCCTCCAGGTGCAAACAGAGATGGTACTTACCCTTGAATGAGTCATAGAAAGATTATAGAGGGAATCCTCTGGGCAATTGCCTGCAGCAAAGGAAAGTCACACCAGTGCCCGCTGGGAGATTATTACTGTGTCTCACTTAGGCAAAGCCTTGTCTTTGGAGGTGTGAGAGGGAGCTCACTTCTCAATGGGGGGAGTGGGGCTCATCAGTCTGAATTTTAGTATTTTCTTGACTTCCATGAAAAGAAAGGGTTCATGTGATACTTGTAATAATTCTTTCCCCAGAAGTCAATAGAGTAAAGAATAAAGATACAGATAGGGAGGATGGAAAGGCATAGAATCACAGGCTTCTTATATTTCATTCTTATTTTCCCGTATTTCCCAAGTAAATTGTCCAAGGTAACATGGTTAAATAGGACAGTGCAAGATGCAAACTTGGGCTTCCTAGATCCGCACGCCTCCCCCCGCCCCCACAATGCCTTCAGTAAAGTCTCATTAGGAAAAGGCCACCCCGGATTTTACTAACTAATGAGCAGTGAGCTCCCCATGTAGAGCCAAAGGTCACCTGAGAGCTTTAGGTAACAGTGACCCTTTGACTACCCACCTTGGTGACTTGATTCATTGTGAATTCATGTACTCTAACTCTGGCCCCACCTCTCAACTGCTCGGAGATTCTGGACAGATCTTCGTGTCCCCTCTTCACCCCTCCTCACCTTACTTCTGCCCGGCCGTTCAGTCTTCCTGTGCCCTCGGTCTCCTCCACCTTTTCCCTCTGTCTTTGTGGGGAACGAGGGCCCTTCGTCTTTGCTAGAGGACACAGTGCAATCTGGGACAGGAAGAATCCTAGACCTGGGGTCTGCCCATCTCAGTCCAGAGCCAGGCCATGGGCAAATGGGTCGTCTCTTGCACTGGTATCTCAGGAGAAAATGGCGAGATGTACATTTCCCTCCCAGGTGGGTTGTGAGCCCAACGCATGACACTGGCTCTGGCAGGGCCTCGGAAGAGGCTCTGCGCTCACCGGACAGATTGCTCCAGAGCCTGACCCCTTCGGGTGGTCTTGGGCCTTTCCCCTTCTCTCTTCTCCTCTGCCAGCTCTGAGGATGCGTGTCTGTGCCACCTTCCGCCCCACCTCAAACACACAAGTCCCCGTGACCTCGATAGCCACTCAAGACACCAAACTCAGCCCAGCTGCCCCCTTACCACTCACTCATTTCTAAACCTCAGTCCCTTTCTGGAAATGGCTGTCCAAAAGGACACGGGTGAGTTCCCACAGTCTTGTTTATAGCTGAGAACACAGATCGACAGGGGACCTGGAAAAATAAAAGCATGAGGGTGGGGGTGGGTAGGAAGATTGTGGGCAAATTCTGTGCAAAAAATGGATTCCCATTTGTTTTTCATTGTGGTGGAGTCGTATGACCAGAAGTGTCCCTATTCCTCTCTCCTGGGACGGAGCCATGCTGGGCCTGGCCAGGAGCATCCTGCTTCGCCACTGAGGCGAGGCCGAGCTGTCTGAGAAAGGCCACCCTCCAGCATCAGACCTGCTGGCCAAGTAGAGGATTGGAAAGGGTTTCCTCAAAGCCGCAGTCTGTGTGGCCAGGTCCCACTCAATCAGAGGCTGCCCTGACGCATCCCCCTCACTGGCAGGCGCTGCCTCATCCCCGACAAGCGTGTTTTCTCACGCCGTGTGGCTGAGAGTGCTGACTGTAGGGAAAGTAGCGATGGCTATGACGTTCCGTAAGTGTGCTTCACAGAGCACGCGTGTGTGCTGTAGCTGATGTGGACGGTGTGGCGACACTGCAGCGTGGGGCCGACTCCCCGGGGTGCAAAGGCTCACCCTTGGGGAAAGTTCCATGGGTCCTGCTGCCCCCCCAGCCACACACACACACACACACACACACACACACACACAGTCCAACCCCCTCGCCTTCCGGGCACTCCCCCCACCCCACCCCAACTCCTTTCCTCCTGGGAGGAGCCTGTTTTCTCTCTCTAGCTGCCTATGGTTTAGTGAATTCAAACAGTTGTAGTTTTCTTCTTGCACAAAAATAAGAATAAAAATAAAAAGTTAATATTGCCTTAGAGAACATCTGGACAGGAGAGTAGGAGGGAAAAAAACCATCGAGAATCCTCCTAAAACCAACCTTTTATGTATGACTATCTAAATTACCACCAGGATCTCGTGCTCGCCTGTGTTTGCCCCTTTCTCTTCTCTTTTGTTCAGATCCTGTCTGTGGGAACCCAGATGGCAAAGGAGCAGCAGGGAGCCCGCAGCTGGCCTCCCATGACCTTGGGCCCAGCCCTTTCTGAGCCTGCTGCCTGGCTCTACAAAGATGACAGTGTCCCCCGCACGGCAGGGATTAATCAGGGTGGGAGAGCTGTCCCCACTGTTCCCTCCCCTTGTTTCAACTTTCTCTTTCCTGTTTCTTAAAAATTTTTTTAAAGGGCAAAAATTAAAATAAACTTATGTCAGCACTTGTAAGACTGTTTCTTGTATCACACAAGAGGAAAATTTAATTTACAAAGCAACCTTTTTTTTTTCCTGGTAGTTATTCAATCCTTCCAGAAAGTCTGGAAAAAACAGTAAACTACAAACAAGTATAACTGCTTTTACTGTTTTGGTATCTTTCCTTCCATGCATTTGTTTATGTGGTTGGAAATATTAATTTTACATAATTTTGCACTCCAGTTTTTTTTAACGTCACATTAGAATATAAGCCTCCCCCCCAAGTTAGTAAAAACTTGTTGGCTGCCATTTTTAATGACTATATAACTGTCCACTAGATGATGTATAATTTCCTTATTTTATATTAGATTATACATAAAGATTCAGTGTTATAATTCTGGGAAGAGTACCTGGTACCCAAAGCTTTCTCTAAATTTTGGAATATTTCCCTAGTTTGTAGTCCTCCAATGGGTTGATCGAGGAATATGAACATATTAAATATTTGTTATATATTGTCAAACTGCTTTCAGTTTGTATCAGTTCCACCACCACTGGCAGTTAGATGCATCCTATCTCTCTGTGCTCTCAAAAGCATTACACATTGAGATTTTCCCTCAATTTTTGATAATGTGATAGAAAAATTAGATCATTTGAACTCGTACTCTTTCTGACTAGTGGAGTTAAACACTGACCATGTTTTTTTAACCATTTGCATTGTAGTGAATTGTCAGGGTTCATTCATTTCTTGAGGAAATAGTT